TCTCCTGCTCTGGTTGATGTGGGCTCTCCTGCTCTGGTTCCTATGGGTCCTCCTGCTCAGGTTCCTGTGGGTCTCCCTGCTTTTGTTGAACCTCCTGCTGAGCCCTCTGTTCCTAAGGTTCCTGGGTCGGCTGCCGTCGCCTCCATGTCGCCTGGATCGTCGGTTGTTGCTTCTTCATCTCCTCTGTGGCCTTTGGTCGCTGTCGTTGAGACTCTGGCTCCCTCAACCTCTGTCGGCTCTTTATTGGCTCCTGCCTCCTCCCTTGGCTTCATGTCTGCTCCCGCCTCCTCCCTCTGGCYCCCCTCGACTCCTGTGGCCTCTTCAGACATTGGAAGGTTTCCAGGCTAGCTTGGAACAAAGCAAGATCTATTTTCTTGCCTTGTGTGTGTGTGTGTGTGTGTGTGTGGGGGGGGGGGGGCTCCTGGCCGCCCACCTGAACTTTTGCATTAGGTTTTTGTTCTGCTCATAGGCCTGACCTGCCACGTGTTTTTTGAGCTGCTCTGTCAGCACTTTTTGTTAAAATAAATACTTTTTTGGAACTTTTAAGCAGCCTGCACCCTGGGTTCTTTTTTACCTGCAGATTGTTGACAGTTTTTAAGGGGGGGGGGGGTGTTCGGTGGCCTCAGGATTCCATCTCTGCTATTTGCAGATGATGTGATTTTGTTGGTGTCATCATGCCGTGATCTTCAGCTCTCACTGGAGTGGTTTGCAGCTGAGTGTGAAGCAGCTGGGATGTGGATCAGCACCTCCAAATCTGAGTCCATGGTCCTCAGTCGGAAAAGGGTCATTTGCTTACAGAATATAAAATCTTACTTCTAACATACAAAGCTCTCAACAACCAAGCTCCATCTTTTATCAAAGATCTTATTGTTCCATATTTTCCTAACAGAGCACTTCACTCTCAGACTGCAGGTTTATCTGTGATTCCTAGAGTTTCTAAAAATAGAATGGGAGGCAGAGTTTTCATTTATCATGCTCCTCTCTTGTGGAACCAACTTCCAGTTTMTGTCCGTGAGGCTGACACTCTGTCTACATTTAAGATTAGACTGAAGACTTTCCTTTTCGATGAATCCTATAGTTAGACTTAGGTTTCCTGAGTTATTCCTTAGTTATTATAGTTAATTAGTTCTGCTGCTATAGGCTTAGACTGCTGGAGGACAAACTACCACATTTCTTYACTTTGCTATTATCTGTAGTYTCTCTTCTCCACATGTTTGTTATAATTACTTCTATCAACAACATGTTTTCTTTGTCTCTCTTCCAGAGGAAAATACACCTGGACCCGTTTTTCTGTGTTTGCCTGTGTCTCTTTCCTGTCCCCCAACCTAGCCAGTCAAGGCAGATGGCTACCTGTCCTGAGCCTGGTTCTGATGGAGGTTTCTTCCTGGTAGGGGGAGTTTTTCCTCTCCTCTGCTGCCAGTGTGTTGCTCAGGATGGGTGACT